TCTCAGGTCACTGGAGAGCTGTCTCAGGTCACTGGAGAGCTGTCTCTCTCAGGTCACTGGGTACCTGTCTCTCTCAGGTCACTGGGTACCTGTCTCTCTCAGGTCTCTGGGTACCTGTCTCTCTCAGGTCTCTGGGTACCTGTCTCTCTCAGGTCTCTGGGTACCTGTCTCTCTCAGGTCTCTGGGTACCTGTCTCTCTCAGGTCACTGGGTGCCTGTCTCTCTCAGGTCACTGGGTGCCTGTCTCTCTCAGGTCACTGGGTGCCTGTCTCTCTCAGGTCACTGGGTGGCTGTCGCTCTCAGGTCACTGGGTGCCTGTCTCTCTCACCTCACTGGGTGGCTGTCTCTCTCAGGTCACTGGGTGCCTGTCTCTCTCAGGTCACTGGGTGCCTGTCTCTCTCAGGTCACTGGGTGCCTGTCTCTCTCAGGTCACTGGGTGCCTGTCTCTCTCAGGTCACTGGGTGCCTGTCTCTCTCAGGTCACTGGGTGCCTGTCTCTCTCAGGTCACTGGGTGCCTGTCTCTCTCAGGTCACTGGGTGCCTGTCTCTCTCAGGTCACTGGGTGCCTGTCTCTCTCAGGTCACTGGGTGCCTGTCTCTCTCAGGTCACTGGGTGCCTGTCTCTCTCAGGTCACTGGGTGGCTGTCTCTCTCAGGTCACTGGGTAGTTGAGATGTCTCACATGCTGTCTAGTTTATGGGATGACACCAGCCTCCCCCTCTCCCCCTCTCTCCCATGCAGTCTTACCTTGGCCCCCGGGGGCCACGAGCAGGGCTCGGGATGGATGGGCCCTGAGAGCTCTACGCACTCCGCCTGGCGCACGGCTCCCCGGCTGCCATGGCAACGCACGACGTTCTACCGTAAAGCGACACCCTGACCTCCTTCCGGAACAAGATGGCGGCGCTCACCGGCTCCCGGGCCCTGCGGGTCTGGACCCCCCTCCGCCGGTACCGTCACAGTGAGCCCAGCGGACCGGCACCGGCCAAGGTGACACCACAGACATTACCGCCCTCTCCACCAAACTGGGGGTTCCGAGCATTTCACAGGCCAGGCCAGAGCAACCGAACTGGAGAAATCCAACTCTGCTTCCAGATCGATTACTCTGGCCTTAAACAGCACATTCCGCTCATTCTGCCAGCGCTGGCCATGCGCCAATCAGAGAGCTGCCCCCAATCCCCAGCCTGGTCCTAGTGACTCTAACTATGTACAGGGGTATTCAATAAAGTGAGTATCTCCCCATAGTGAATATTTATCTCATTCATCAAATTAATAATAATAATAATATAATATGAGCTTCACCATAGTCCCAGCTGGACCAGTTAATCCTGAAAGGAACACTCTGCACCCCTTAAATCACTTCAACCGGCTGCGGTGCTGCTTTTGGGGGCTACCATAGAATACCTTCCTTTCCCGCTTTATAAAAGTATTTATTGTAAGGAAAATCAGAACTTTAATGAAGTGACATGGTTGCACTCTCCAAGCTCTCAGAGCAGAGGCCTGTGCTTCTTAGAGAAAACTCAGAATTAAAGGGAAACTATAGTGCCAGGAAAATAAAGTTTGTTTCTCACGTCCCCCTCCCCGTCTTCCTCCACCTCTGTGAATTAGGGGTTAAAAAAAATTTTTTTTAACTTACCTGATTCCAGCGGTAGGGGGGGGAACGTAAGGCCCATGCGCGGCACTTGCAATAGGATTTCCCTCATAAGAAAGCATTATATACATTTTTTTTTTACTATGGGGTTTTGGGAGACGCTGGATGTCCTTATGCATAGCACATCAATTGTACAGCTCTACAGAATCTGATGGCGCTATATAAATAATATAATAATAATTGGGTGACCAAAAGTCACCTGGCGACCTGGAAGTCACTCTAGTGGCTGTCTGATAGATAGCCACTAGAGTTGGAGTTAACCCTGGCAGGTAATTATTGTAGTTTATTAACCACTAGAGGTGTCCTTAGGCAGCAATGTAAACACTGCCTTTTCTCTGAAAAGACAGTGTTTACATTCAAATGCCTGCAGGGACATACTATACACATCAGAACAACTACATTAAGCTATAGTGGTTCTGGTGACTTTAGTGTTCCTTTAAGTAATTTTAAAAAAAACACAGTTTGAGGCACATCCAGTTTTGCAAAAAGCTAGGGAAAAAAGACCTTTTGATCCCAGAATGGCAATCAGATATCTCCTTGAATCTAGAAGCCATTACCCTACAAATTAAAAATTATATCCCTGTGTTTACAAGTATTTTCCCAATTGCTGCTTAACCATTTCTATAGACTATGATAAAACTAACGAAAGTACTTTTTCGGGCAGACAATTCCACATCCTTATTGTTCTTACTGTAAAAGAAAAACCCCTTTCATTTGCATTAGACTAAATCTCTTTTCTTCCAGTCTAAATGCGTGACTTCATGTCCTATGTATAGCCCTGTTTATGAACAGATTTCTATACAATGGTTTGTATTGTCCCCAAATATATTTGTATAATGCTATCATATCTCCTCTGAGGCACCATTTTCCAAACTAAAGAGGTTTAAGTTTGTTAACCTTTCTTCATAACTAAAATTCTCCATTCCTTTTGTCAGTTTTGTAGTCCTCCTCTGCACTTTTTCTAGTGCCATAATATAGGTGAGCAAAATTGCACAGCATATTCAAGGTATGGTCTTACCAGTGATTTATAAAGACGCAAAATTATATTTTCAACCCGAGAATGAATGCCCCTATTTATAAGGCCCTAGATTTCAGTAAGGCTTTTGACACTGTTGCACATAGAAGGCTTATCAATAAACTGCAATCTTTAAGTTTGGATTCAAATATTGTTGAATGGGTAAGGCAGTGGCTGAGTGACAGGCAACAGAGGGTTGTAGTTAATGGAATATATTCGAAAGCTTGGACTTGTCACCAGTGGGGTACCTCAGGGATCTGTACTTGGACCCATTCTCTTTAATATTTTTATTAGTGATATTGCAGAAGGTCTTGATGGTAAGGTGTGTCTTTTTGCTGATGATACTAAGATATGTAGCAGGGTTGATGTTCCAGGAGGGATAAGCCAAATGGCAAATGATTTAGGTAAACTAGAAAAATGGTCAGAATTGTGGCAACTGACATTTAATGTGGATAAGTGCAAGATAATGCATCTTGGACGTAAAAACCCAAGGGCAGAGTACAGAATATTTGATAGAGTTCTAACCTCAACATATGAGGAAAGGGATTTAGGGGTGATTATTTCTGATGACTTAAAGGTAGGCAGACAATGTAATAGAGCAGCAGGAAATGCTAGCAGAATGCTTGGTTGTATAGGGAGAGGTATTAGCAGTAGAAAGAGGGAAGTGCTCATGCCATTGTACAGAACACTGGTGAGACCTCACTTGGAGTATTGTACACAGTACTGGAGACCGTATCTTCAGAAGGATATTGATACCTTAGAGAGGGTTCAGAGAAGGGCTACTAAACTGGTTCATGGATTGCAGGATAAAACTTACCAGGAAAGGTTAAAGGATCTTAACATGTATAGCTTGGAGGAAAGACGAGACAGGGGGGATATGATAGAAACATTTAAATATATAAAGGGAACCAACACAGTAAAGGAGGAGACTATATTTAAAAGAAGAAAAACTACCACAACAAGAGGACATAGTCTTAAATTAGAGGGACAAAGGTTTAAAAATAATATCAGGAAGTATTACTTTACTGAGAGGGTAGTGGATGCATGGAATAGCCTTCCAGCTGAAGTGGTAGAGGTTAACACAGTAAAGGAGTTTAAGCATGCGTGGAACAGGCATATGGCTATCCTAACTATAAGATAAGGCTAGGGACTGATGAAAGTATTTAGAAATATTGAGCAGACTAGATGGGCCGAATGGTTCTTATCTGCCGTCACATTCTATGTTTCTATAAATGACTAAACCTTACTGGCCTTACCAACTGCTGATTGACATTGCATATTGTTGCCTAGTCTATAGCAGTGGTTCCCAACCCAGTCCTCAAGTACCCCCTACCAGTCCAGGATTTACAGATTACCCTGTTGTGTCTAAAGTGTTTTTTTTTTCTTTCCAAAAACACCTTAGACACAATTGAGTAATCCTTAAATCCTGGACTGTTAGGCGGTAATTGAGGACTAGTTTGGGAACAACTGTTCTATAGCAATTCCCAAATCCTTCTATGATGCTTTGTCTTTTTAAAGGCATGTAAAGTATCATGGGAGTTGTCATTCTACAACATCAGGGGATCTTCCTTATGGACACCCCTGCTCTACAGACCTCCGTGCTGTACTCTTGTGAATACACAAACTACCTTTAACTTCAACTGTGTACCACTGCACACTAAGCAAGGATGTCAACGTTGGGGGTCTTGGCAAATATTAAGCTGCCCCTGGTGTGTATGTATATACATACACATATCATAAGGCACTAGATTTGTAGCAAACAGCATAAAAATTAAGAAACAAATATTTATTGGTATAGGTAGTCAAGTGTAAGTAAGGGGATATGTCCTGGAGTAGTCGAAGTATGGACAGTAACTGTATATTTTTTTGTTTAGTTTGATGCATCATTCATTGACACAAAGTTGTGAAGATTCTGTGAATCTGATTGCTGATCAATGGAGTAAGAATCGAAACGCAAATAAAAAAAAAATATATTTTATGACTCCTGATATAAATAGTGTAACGGCACCCTCAGCATAAAAGGGTTAAACCGCCGTTTAGTAGATCTTCCCCTTTCAGAGACACAGGCACAGCTACTGCAGAACACCAATCTGCCGAACAGGAAACCATACGAATGCTGTAAACAGCCGAATAGGAAGAACCATACGAATGGGTTTACACTCCTAGCAGTCAAACTGGAACAGCATACAATAAATCCCCCCAAGAACGAGACAAAGCTCCGTGTTGAGGGTCAAGCAGTGAACAGACAGAGCTGTGGGTTTATTGTGCTTATGTACACATTCTTACACATTAGTACCACCCACAGGGTTTTGGAACACAACCAATAAACACATACAATACACTCAGACACTCCCACACAAATTCCTCCCCTCTGCATGTGATTCAATTACCTTACACAATGGGTAATGTAATTTAGCACAAGCAGAAATAAATTTTTCCACATTATTCATAACTTACATTTTCAGAATCAGCATACTCCAAATACAAACATACGTCAAAATCATACAGATTGGTCCAGTGGTTCAAAAGATAGATCGTAGTCCTTTGTGACCACAGGAAGCATGGCTTTTCTGCCCAAAACCAGTTCCACAGAGTCTTCTATCCTGGAGATTATTAGAAGTAATTCAATTATCTCCAAAGACAGAGGCAAAACTCCATTGAACACATGGCAACAAAAACACAGTAAGATACAATAAAATACACAAGGTTACATTTATGACATAAAATACAGACATGCAACATATCCCCAGATAGCTTAGGTCTAAGCGCACATTATTACTGAATGGCGCTCAGAGCACACACATACAGTTCAATTGCCATGGAGCCAAAATCTTTCCCATAGTCTTTCATTATACGAATGGGCTCCATGGCATAGCTATCTGGGGTATCACTGCTCAAACAGGGCAAGCACCAAATGACCCGGCTTTCTTGTCTTTGCAGGGGAAAATCAAGCCTTTTAACATGAGGCCATAATCCCAAGGCAACAGGCGAGCAACCCGGCTTCTCCAATGCAATGTGGCGAGATTGGTCTCGTCACAAATAGCTACATCACATAGCACTGCTGAATTTGTATTATTGAAAAGTATTAAATAAATTGATTTCTTAAACTAATTTTGATATATCCTTCATCATATTTTAGGCAGTGGGCTTCTATCCTCCCCCCGACTCTAAATATGACTGGATTGGTCCTCCTGACAGGATTTCAAACCTAAGACCCATAAAATTTTTTGTACCAAAGAATGAATCTGAGCCAGAAAGAAAGCTCAGGGAATTGCGCGAGGAAACACAAGATTGGAACCAAAGATTCTGGGCTACGCAGAACATGACATTTCTTAAGGTAACCACTTTCCACTTTAAATAGTGTTCAATTAGTTTCATCGTGTTTTTAGGTTGCAAAACAATACTCGTTGTAGAAGATTTGTTCATATTTTGCATACGTTTAAATTTGATGTGAAAAGAGCTTTTCCCTCTTGTAAAAACTGTTTTAGTACATTTATGTAGCTTTAAACTCTTTCATTTATCGTAGTCCAATGAAGAGTAAGACAGGTGTATAAAGTACATCACCATAAACCAACTAAATTGTATATGAATATAGAGACTTGTATATATCTTACACAACATTTCTTTGTGGGTAGTTTTTTTTGTTTTTTGTTTTTTAGAAACATTATAAAACATGCTCTCTCACACACTACATACCTAAAGAAGGATTAATATATACAATCTTGGTTTTATTGCAATTGTAGGCCTGAATAACATGGGGGTGTTAAACAATCCCATTTTATTCCATGATAGGTGGTTAAGCTGTTATTAATTTAATAAGATACCAGTCTTGAGTTCAAAAGTGAATTTTATTTTGGACTGGAGGGATATACCAGAGAATTAAAATAGGGCTGCCAACTAAGGAACACATTTTCTCGTTAAAGTACTTGTGTAATGAAGCTTCCTATAGGATAATAAGCACAAACATGTTAAAACAACCATCTTGACCCCTGCCCCCCACTTGCTTCCCTTAAATATAGAAAAATCTTACCTTTACTCCAGTCTGCTGCTGCTGGCTCTGCCCCGATCTACCTGCTTGGCTAACATCATCAGAAGAGATTCTCTCCGCCAATCACAATGCTTTCATTTAGGAAAGCATTGGATTGGCTGTGACTGTCAAGGAGGCCGATCGGGGGCAGAGCCAGCACAAGCCAAACACAGCCCTGGCCAATCAGCATCTCTTCATGGAGATGAATTGAATCAATGAATCTCTATGAGGAAAATTCTGTGTCTCCATGCAGAGGGTGGAGACACTGAATGTCAGTCACACAGTGCAGCACTGCCCCAGGAAGCACCTCTAGTAGCCATATAAGGAATGGCCACTCTCTGAAAACATGGTGTTTATTGCAAAAAGCCAGAAGGGAATGATTATACTCACCAGAACAAATACAATAAGCTGTAGTTGTTCTGATGACTGTAGTGTCCCTTTTAAAGAAAAAGGAGATTTGGTTGTAAAGTAGTCACAACGGAGAAGGGGAGGAAAGGATCCAATGATGTAGTATACATTCCAAGCAGCAAGCAGAATCTTATAGAACAATTTAGAAATATGACCAGACTCCTCAGGCACCACCCCAAATGTTGCTAGTAAAGGCTGGATGTGGAACAGTCTACCCAAAAACATAGTTTTATAATCGGTTACTCTCTTCCATAATGCCTGAATCTCCACACACTCCCAAAAATAATGATACAGCTCTGCTCCTTCGGTCCTGCATTTCAAACACTTGGCAGTGTTCCTCATTCTTAAAGAAAATTGGTTTTGGGGTGAGTAGTAGTTGTGATGTGTAATTTTTAAATGCATATTCTGGTAAGATGCAGATGGAAGTAATTTAAAGGAACACTGTAGTGTCAGGAATACAAATGTGTGTCCCCTCCCCCCAAGTGAAAAGGGTGATTTTGCTTACCTTTTTCCAGCACCGTGCAGGTCTGGTCGCTGATGGCTCCTTCCATGCTCCACCTCCTTGGCTGAGATCATCCATTCTGCTGATCTCAGCCAATCCAGTGCTTTTCCATAGTAAAGTATTGGGAGGTTAATTTGCACAAGCAGCAAAACGCTGCGCTACACCAATTGTCAACTCTGAGGCACATTGTGACCCAGGAAACAGAATCTGGATAGGATACAAAAGCAAGACAAGAACAGAAAGGATTAGCATGGGTCCTTAGAATGGCTTCATTTAAAGGAACACTATAGCATTAAGAATACAAATGTTAATCACTAACACTGTAGTGCCCTGATAGCCATTTAGGTTCCTGTAGAGAGTTTAAAAAAAAGTCTCTTTACTTGCCTTTTATCCCTCTTAGTGCCAGTCTCCATACTAGGGAGCGACCGATATTAATTTTTTAGAGCCGATACCAATAATCTGTGAACTTTCAGGCCGATAGCTTACCAATATTCTGTACATTTACAGTATTTTTTTTTAAATTTTATTAAGTGGTAAATGCACGAAATATGCATGCCAGTCAGATTTTTTTTTATGTTTTCAATAATATTTTTATGTGTCTGTGTGTAGTAGATGCAGTGAGAGTATTTGATTAGTAAATGCAGTGTGTGTGTTCCTCTCTCCCCCCTAGTGTTCTTCACCCCCCTTCCCTGTCCCATAGTGTTCTTCACTCCCCCTCCCCTGTCCCTTAGTGTTCTTCACTCCGCCTCCCCTGTCCCATTGTGTTCTTCACTCCCCCTCCCCTGTCTCATAGTGTTCTTCACCCTCCTTCCCTGCCCCATAGTCTTCTTCTCTCCCCCCCTCCTGTCCCATAGTGTTTGTAAGAAAACCCAACATTTCCCAAACTCTTTCGGACAATATTTCGTAGGGTTTACCCTGTTTTCATTTGTTTTTTTGGTAGTTTCAAAGCTACCGAACCACCGTCCACCCCCCTGGTTCATTATCTTTAAAGGAAACCATCAATCAAGCGCTCTCCCTTTGCGGCCGCCGTTTGTATAATCTAACGCCACGTGCAGGAGAAAACGACGGCCATCTTGTTTGCACGAAAGGAGGCAGCGGGACTTGGTTGTCGAGTGTCTGGAACTAAAATCGGACACTCGACTTCCCGAACACCGGTCAAGCTATACGAACGCCTGCTTCTTTTTCCAGAAAAGCTAGGGGAGCGTTGTTTGGTTCCCACGAACCAGGGGAACAATCGCTACTAGGAGCCAGGGGGTTCTATTCGTGCATTAGTTCGTTTTTTTTAACTTGTCGAAATAGACCGACTGCACAGCCTAAACTCATGCAACTGTTTCTTGGCAGGAGCCTCGTGTGCGGTCGGTCAAAATGGGACTTCCATGAAATTCGAAAACCCTGGGTTATGGCCCGAAATGAGGATTATTGAGAGTAGTGGTTTTCAGATCGTAGGGAGTGAGGGTGTTAGTAGAAGGGTGGGGGATCTGAATGGGAGTGGGTAGGAGGCTGTGTGTGTGCACCAACACCCCTTTCCTCTCCCCGCCTCCTGTAAATGGATTAGAAAGAATGGAGTTCGGTGGGAGCAAACTCCCGAAAGCGGGGCACCAGACAAGCAAACGCACGAACAGTTTATTCGTTGATTTGTCTGTATTAAGTATTCCCGAAAGAGACCGACCGCACAGTCTGAATTCATGGAACTCTTTTGGGAAGGAGTCTCGTGTGCGGTCGGTCAAAATATGACTTCCATGGAAATCTTAAACCTCTGAACTGATCTGGGTGATTTTGGATATGTTGGTCACCCAGATCAGGGCTATCAGGGAATATGACATTTATGGGGATGCTATGTGTTTTGGGGTATTTTCTAAGTTTTGTGAAAAATATGGTTTTTCTGTCTGGAGATAATGGAGTTATTACTCTAGCTGACTCCATTATCTCACAGTCAGAGAAGAGGGAATTATATGTTTTGTTGCAGGCTGGCCGGGTATTAGTATACGTCCTCCATTGCAGCAATATCACTTTCACGCTATATGGCTTTATGTTTCCTCAGGGTCTGTACTGGTAAGGTTTTCAGTACACAAACATCCCACTTCTGAAACCCCTTGTAGCAAGCTGGCCGGGTCTTGGGTTACAAATAACAGAAACAGTTCTTTCTTCCAATATGAGGGAAGCTTTATTTAGCAAGCAGGCCCCAATTGAGCCACAGCAAAACATGAAAACCAAAATAAACTCCTACTCCACACTGGAGACTAACATAGAGTACCCTTTCTATGCTACTGGGCACCTAAGCTGACCCCAGTAGTTTAACAAATAAAAATAAAAGCTTGCAAAATACCTTTTTGTTCCCACACAGTTTCTAGCTCTAGCTCTAGAGGTCAGTCTCACAGCATACAGATGAATATATAAAATAAAAAACAAATGCAAACAATAGTGTCCACTGTGTTAATAGTTTACTCACGTTTGATAGAGCAGTGGATACCATGTAAGTATTTCTGCTTGGGTGGTATGATCCTTACCAGGGATATAATGTGGAGTAAGTAGTAGGATGATGCTATCCAGGGATAATGTGTGGTAGGTTCTTAAAGATGATTGATGTGCCAGGAACAATAAAATATAACACTAATACTTTAAAGCCACTCCATGCTTCCAAACCTCCCCCGCCCCCTTGTAGTTTAGTAAATATACCTACAATGAATACATGCATGCATATTTTTATGTATGTTTTTATTGGGAGTATAGTATAAAAGAACTTACAAAAGCTGCAGTTCTTATGACTGCACCATTTGTAAGCCCTCCCTTTTTCTCCCAGAAGGGATTTTCAGTCTCTTCACTGGAAAATAACCAATCAGAGGCTTCTCACTCTGAAACCTTTGACTTGGTCCCAACGTGCAAGCGCACCAGCTTGTGCACTCGCATGTCTGGAGCTGACGAGCTGGTCTGAATTTAATATTTGGCACAACCTATATTGTGTTTAGTATTATTCGTATATTCTACCATCTAGAGCGAGCAGCAGGCATTTCAAATTTGCATTTTGGGACTGGTTCAACTATGGGTAATTGTGCATGAGAAGCACTGAAAGTCAACGTCCACCTTTTGTTTTAAAGGAACAACATGATGTTTGTGTTAGGAGAAAGGTTGAACCTAGAGCCCATTTTTTTTTCTTACTTATTGGCAATTTTATTTTCCAGGAAAAAGAAGACTTTATTACAGCAAGACTAAGGTCTTTGGGGCTAGATGAAAGAGATGAAGACGGTAAGATGTAACTGTAGCTTAATCCACCATAGGTTAGAGAGAGATGTGTGTGTTTGTCTCTCACAGATACACATATATATATATATATGTATATGTGTATGTGTCTAGTATTCCTTTTCCCAATAGCAGAGTATCGCCTAGAATCTACAGGAATAAATATCGCTGGTATCGCCAAATAATCCACACGTGAGCCAAAGCTTAATGCTGGAACAAAACTGATTTACTGGAAGCAACAGGCATTCAATATATGCAGTACAAACTCCTCCTCTGGGCCAGGCTAGATAATTGAGTTTCAGCAGCATACTAAACTCAATTATCTGCTGGCCAGAAACATTAACAATTTTCAACATTTTTGGAAATATACTTTCTACATGACATATGAATATAAAAACCACATCCCTCGGTAGCTGAGGATACTGGGAGTAACATATCCAAATTGCACGAAAATCTGTTCGGTAGTTTCCGTGTCGCATTGTGTGGAAATTGGGACACATGGACTAGTTTGTAACCACCAACTTAAAGGGTTAGTTTAGACAGCATAACCACTACAATGCTCTGTAGTGGTTATGGTGTTCATTGGAGCTGTTCCCCATGTGAGAGTCAAAGCGTTTACAAACACTTTTACACTTTTCTGTGTCTTTATGGTGCCTGCAGTCTGGCCCTATCTTCAGATATTACTAAAGACTCTTCCTCCATTTTTCTGCTTCTATCAGCTGATGTCCTATTAATCCCTCCATGTGAGAGCACACTGTACATGCAGATAACGTTTTAAATTCTTGACATTATTCTTTGTGATATATGTCTTTAACCTATGGTCAGCGTCTTTGCAATCCGAATCACATTGTGTATGTAATACTGTGTCCACATCTGAAGAGCAGTAAGTGTTACCACTTTTCCTGCAGAGGGTAAATCCTGTTAACTTCTGCTGCCTAATCACTGTATAGATTAATATTTGCTGAGAATGGGAAGTTCTGAGCCAAACTCTCTCTCTCTCTCCTTCACAGGACACAAAAGGAAATTGAATGCAGAAGAAATGGCAGATTTTTACAGGGATTTCCTCAGCAAAAACCTTGAAAAGCATACACGTTATAACAGGTAAAATATGTCCTCTAGATGGGCCTGTTTGTGGGTAGCTATATACTGCTTTAGGCATTAACCTTTTCATTACTGAGAATGTCAAAGGTTCACTTCCCTTAAAGAAATATTAACATTTTGCTTCTTTGTTCAAATATAAAAACTGTATGTTATGTGTCAAAGCAGAGTGTATGTTTACAGGTAACAGGATCAAGGATGTGGAAAATATATTGCCCGACTCCTGGTACATGCTTTTGTTTTTTGTTATTCCTTTGGCCAAACAGCAAGTGGCAGGGCTTTGGGATTGCTGCCAGAGCTGGGAGCATTAGATCTGCATCTCAGGTGAGTGCATACCACATTAATCACCCCCTTACGGTCCGGTGCTCTCTAGTGATTCAGAGGGCAGTCGCTAGGATTCCCAGCATGTATTCTGACTCACTGAAAGCACAGACTCTGAGGGAGTCATTACTCAGGTCTGTATTAGCCAAAGGTGTAGACCTTACGCACCCACACAGAACCACCATGGATTCCCCCTTTACCACCAGGCTAAACACAGCACCACCACACACATCACATACAGCCAGCACACAATATGACAAGGGGAGAGACAATGACACGTGGATAATTCACATAACTCTGCATTTTGAGCTATATAAATCCAAATGACAAAACTGAGGCAAAAAATAGCCATATCATGACTATTGTGGAGTTACAGATTTTTTCCAACTATTTTACCTCTTTTTTTTTTTCCATTTAGATTTAATTTGTTCAAATTTAGATTTTAGCAAATAGCCCCATCAATGTCCAAGGCTCTAGGCAGGGGGCTCCAATCTTTGTAACTGAAATTGTTTTGTATCAAAACAAGTAGAATATGATAATAGACAAGTAGATTGGGCTTGCGAATTAGTGCCTTGGAGAAATAAAGGTTTTTGTTGTTTTTTTTCTTATTCCACACCCCAGTCACACAGTTGATTAGTTTGGACATCAACAGCAGCATGCACCATAGCCTATCAGCAGTGGTGGTTGGAGAAGTAGCACATCACCCTCCATTTGTTTACTTGTAGAATGGTGAGATATCTTCTTTGTTACTTGCAGTGGAGGGATCGTTTTGTATGGAATTTTAAATGTTTTTACTGTTCGCTTCTGTCAAAACAAGTGGTTTGACTTCATTTAAAGGAACCCTCAAATCACCCACTATAACATTTTGTGGTGTTTATAGTGCTAGCAGTGCCTTGACTTCATTCCGGTGTAATCTGTTAAACCAGTTTAGCACGGTTTGACATGTACCAGTGTCGTGTAGTGGTTGTGGTGGTGGAGTGTTCTTTTAATAAGCCTGGTACGTTACAATATTGTTTCAGTGTTTAATTTGAAAATTGCAATTTTTCAACTCTCAAGCAGGAATTTATAAAATGTATAACCGCAGGGTAGTCATACTGCTAATAGACATTTTTTTTTTTTTTTTTTAAAACAACACCTGTATTGACTTAAAGTGGCCCGTTTGTTTTTGTTTTTTTGTTTTTTTTCACGTTTTCTCCAGTATCTTAATACATATAAATGCTGCTTGCCTTTATTTATATTGATCTTTTTCTTATTGTGCTAAATCTCAGTACCTGGGCGCAGCCATTTTGTTGTCCTCTGCCCATGGTGGTCATTCTGTGGGATTGATTGTACTGGGAATTTACAGTAAATTTGATTGGTAACCTTGCTTCTTTTTTTTTTTAATTCTTTATTTTGTGCAGTGCATATGGGTGTAACAAACATACAGGTGGTACCCCAGCGGCATTCCACTTGCTTATTTCAAAACAATTGTAACAGTGGGGCATAAGATAACAGTGCACTGTTTTATATTTAAGTTGAAAGTTGTCATGTTTGGAGCATACTTTTCACACATGGTGTTCGGTGATACAAACAGGCATATTTCAGGCTCTGATTCTCATTTGGACGTGAGAAGGTATACATAGATTTATACTGTCTAGTGAGTTTACATGCTGATAAACCAACAGTTACTCTTTAAGTTTTAAACAGGCTTGGGTTGCCTCATTAGTTTATGCTGGCTAGTAAAATAATGCCTATTAATTAAGCATTTACATGGTACTTGTCAACAGCGCTATTTTTTAGTCGGGTATGTTGAAAATAATTAAGCATGCTTATGGGGTGTCAGGAGTATTTTTAAAGCTGTTACCGCTTAACTACAGTATTGTTCTGAACATACAGCTTCTCCAGCTCAGTTGCATATATATGAAGCTTAAACCCATTATGAGATGTGAGCTGGGTTGTATTGTGACCTAAGAGTAGTGGGTCATATAAGGAGCTGTGCATCGGCTGTATAATCACTGGTCAAAAAGAGCACATGCAAGGGACAAAGGCAACGGCTTTGCAAAGAGTGGAATACTGACAGGTTAAAGACCGTTACTGTATGCTTAGCCAGTGTTTAGAGAGCAGTTTGTGTGTTTTAAGAGGCAAGGTGGGGAAGTCCAGCTATAGCGGGGTACGCCTGACGGGCTCCAGTCTCATGTCCACACTCATCCGATCCCCTCTGGGCGCCAAATATAGTCCCTGAGAACCAGTGTCACCTGGGGTGCCAGATGCATGCACCCGGCACGTGTTGGTAGAGGTTTGCGTGGTGGTGCGGGGGTCGGTGCTTTTCTGGTGGGCAGGGTACTTCAGGTCCAGACCGTGGTTGAGGTGGCCTGGAGTGGAGGTGTATGCTTGATAGGGAGTGGGCTCTTTGTTTCCGCCTGTGCCGCAGGTCTCGCCGTCGATGCTTCCTATGGGAGCCGCTAGCAGTTACCACTCTACTTCTGCCCCTGGGACTTGAGATTGCCAAGGGTGTAATTGCAGGAATGATCTGCTTTGCTGGTGTGTTCTGCTTCCTCTCCGATATCCTGGCCCAGAAGGCATAACATTTTTTTTCGAGCCTGGTCAGAAGGTAAGTCGCCGGATCCCCCGGGCCCCGATGCTTGCCGACTGGTGCATGGTGTCCGCCATATTGGAGTTGGTGAATTTGGGGTTGAGCAATCTCCGGGACGCGCAGTAGGTATGCTGTTGGTGCCGGGATATCCCTCACCGGCAGGGGGGAAGGCTCGTGGGTGGTCCTCTGCAGCTTAGGCTCCGCTGCCAGGGAGGCCACGGGCTGGGTGATCAGCCACCTCACCCACGCCCTCGCCTCCACCTAGGCCACAAAACGTGGCGGTTGTCGCCCCAGTAGGCCCCAGCGATCTATCTCGAGTTCCCGGTGTCTCAATGGTTCATGCTTAGTCTTGTTGCAATCCCCCTTGCATCCCCTACGTGGGTGATGCAATTTGGGGGATTTTGTAGCTTGAGAGCCAGGTTAATGTCACATAGATTAGGAATGCAGATGGGAGCTCGTGCTGCACACATCCGATCAGCTTGTAACCTTGCTTTTTAAATACTGCTCCTTCTCAAGTTCTGTCTGACTATTATACATAAGGAAAGAAATGAAAAAAAAAAAAAGATTCATACACAGAGAACTATGTAGAAGCAGGTTAGATGAAGTTTATTTTTGATGACAAAGCCACTTTAACTATGTGTGTGCATGCTGATATTCTCACATGTTCTTTTGTTTCAAAGGTATGTTTTTATTTTCTCTCCTAATGGTATACTCCACATACAACCGGTATAATAATAACTGGTAATTTAATGGATTCTGTTTCTATAATGTGTAACTTTGTTTTTCTTTGTTATTCCCCTACACATTACAGAGAATGGTATAAGCGGAATTTTACAATTACGTTACTCATGGCAAAAGTGACGTTACTGAGAGCTTGGGAGAAACTCGGTTGGAAAAAGACAAAGACTGAACCTTGACAACCTGCGATTTTGTGGATGAACCAAAAAGAATATATTTCTCAGGAATATTAACCCAGAGGACCTAAAGTTGATTGACTGTGACATTAATTACTTGTTACTTTTCACTATATGCTGTTTAGTGCTTCATCAAACCGGTTCTCACTCAAGGATCTGTGCAGAAGACATTTGCTGAGTGTGAAAGGACAGCAATAGCTTAGAGGCTTGTTAAATTTTGTGTTGATTTCTAAATGAAAATTAACATCCTTGTTGACATGCGAATGTAGTTTTCTGGCATTATTTATTAATTGTTTCATTCCCACTTAGGGTTTTATTTAAATGTCACACATCCTGATCTTTCCTCCACTCAAATGGTTATGAGTTTGAGTCGACTCAATTTTGTTTTATTTTTTTACTGTTATTTCATTCAATTTTGCTCAATTCAGGGTAAAATGGCTGTTCTCATGTGGTCATTGGGTAATTACAACTCAAGTGCATCTCAAGGAAATGACTGAAGTCACCACAAACCAGTTGATGTCAGAAACCTTTGGACTAAATCAAAAGCCCCCTTAGGAATTTTCCTGGGGTTGATAACAAATCTGGTTTGTTGACTATGCAGCAGTAGACAAGACACCACCAGTCACGACCATTGGTTTAATCTCTCTCCATATTCTGGAGACCGTGTGTGGTACAAATTATTTTTGCTTGGAGGATCTCACAAATCTGACTATTTGAAGAGTATGCACCAATGCCTTATTGTAATTAATGGGATGACTAAATCAGTTTATGTATTGGGGCTAGTGTTCCTCTTTAACCTATTCACTTGTCTGAATCTGTTCTAAGACTAAAGACATTGCGTCACTTTCCCGCTATTGTGCAATTGCAATTTAAATACTAACAATTTTATTATGTGTTCATTTGTAAGAGAAGGAAAAAAAAAACATCATAGGGTTTTACTCGTCATTCTGGAAATTACAGATAAGTGACCATGGTTGTACAGAATTGTATACCAAAACAGCCATCTAAACTTTTATTTATTTTTTTGAGTTGGCATACTTACCCAGGCTGATTTCAATCATAAAAGGCTTTGCTCCTAATCTAAATGTGTAAATAAAAAGAGATTTGGGGATACAGAAAAAAAGAAATCGAAAAAGGAGAAAGTGTAGTTATGTTGGTTAGAACCTTGTGTGATAGCAATAAATACAGTGCATGTGTTAGAAGTGTGGGTTTATATGAAGATGCAAGTTTAATATCATCTTAGACAGTGAGTGCCCAGCACAAATCTATCACAGTTGGGGTTAGGGGCATGAACATCACGAAGGAACAGAATATATATATATATGTTTATCATGGTAACCCATAAAGCCAGCTTTAAAGGGTAACTGTCACTTCCAAAGATTTGTTTAATATTATATTTATTTAACCATTCTAACAAATATGAATTGTGAAGGAGTGAAAAATTAAATTCAATGTAGAAATCCACACCATTATATCCTGCAACTGGGCACCTCCATCTTTGCTCCCGGTCAATCATTGTTATAAGCTCCGCCCTTTACACCTGTCAGTCAGCCTAGACAAAGCATACAAAGAGGAAAAAATTAAACCATGTTTCTATTTTTACTCCTCATTTGCATTTTTTGCCCTGGGTGTTCTCAGACCGAAGTGTATTGTGATGTGATTTGCTAAATCTTTTCTAGAAATGTTAAAGGGACACTGTAGTCACCAGAACAACTACATCTTATTGCATTTGCTCTGGTGAGAATCATTCCCTTAGCGAATGTTTTGCCCATTTACAAGAAAGGTAATAGGGAGGAGTCGGGCAACTATAGGCCAGTAAGCCTTACTTCAGTAGTGGGGAAAGTGATGGAAACCATGTTAAAGGATAGGATTGATGAACATCTAAAAACACATGGATTTCAAGATCAGAGACAACATGGGTTTACTTCAGGGAGATCATGCCAAACTAATCTTATTGATTTTTTTGATTGGGTAACTAAAATTATAGATCAGGGTGGTGCAGTAGACATTGCTTACCTAGATTTCAGTAAGGCTTTTGACACTGTTGCACATAGAAGGCTTATCAATAAACTGCAATCTTTAAGTTTGGATTCAAATATTGTTGAATGGGTAAGGCAGTGGCTGAGTAACAGGCAACAGAGGGTTGTAGTTAATGGAATATATTCGAAGCTTGGACTTGTCACCAGTGGGGTACCTCAGGGATCTGTACTTGGACCCATTCTCTTTAATATTTTTATTAGAGATATTGCAGAAGGTCTTGATGGTAAGGTATGTCTTTTTGCTGATGATACTAAGATATGTAACAGGGTTGATGTTCCAGGAGGGATAAGCCAAATGACCAATGATTTAGGTAAACTAGAAAAATGGTCAGAATTGTGGCAACTGACATTTAATGTGGATAAGTGCAAGATAATGCATCTTGGACGTAAAAACCCAAGGGCAGAGTACAGAATATTTGATAGAGTTCTAACCTCAACATATGAGGAAAGGGATTTAGGGGTGATTATTTCTGATGACTTAAAGGTAGGCAGACAATGTAATAGAGCAGCAGGAAATGCTAGCAGAATGCTTGGTTGTATAGGGAGAGGTATTAGCAGTAGAAAGAGGGAAGTGCTCATGCCATTGTACAGAACACTGGTGAGACCTCACTTGGAGTATTGTACACAGTACTGGAGACCGTATCTTCAGAAGGATATTGATACCTTAGAGAGGGTTCAGAGAAGGGCTACTAAACTGGTTCATGGATTGCGGGATAAAACTTACCAGGAAAGGTTAAAGGATCTTAACATGTATAGCTTGGAGGAAAGACGAGACAGGGGGGATATGATAGAAACATTTAAATATATAAAGGGAATCAACACAGTAAAGGAGGAGACTATATTTAAAAAGAAGAAAAACTACCACAACAAGAGGACATAGTCTTAAATTAGAGGGACAAAGGTTTAAAAATAATATCATGAAGTATTACTTTACTGAGAGGGTAGTGGATGCATGGAATAGCCTTCCAGCTGAAGTGGTAGAGGTTAACACAGTAAAGGAGTTTAAGCATGCGTGGGATAGGCATAAGGCTAGGGACTAATGAAAGTATTTAGACAATTGGGCAGACTAGATGGGCCGAATGGTTCTTATCTGCCGTCACATTCTATGTTTCTATGTTTCAGGCTTTTTTTTTTCATTTATGTAACGGTAACATAGGTGAACGTACAATATGTAACAAGAAATTGGTATACAATATAGGCAAAGGTAAGGAACAGTACAGAAGAGATCAGGTCATAACATTACATTACAGGCCTGTTGTGCACCTGTATTACTGCGGGGTGTCAGTGAGCTATGTTTAAGGTTGCAATTTTAACATAGATACCCTTATTTGTTTTCATTGTTCCACAGCCCTTGCGATTGGTCCCATGAGGAATGTTCGTATATGTTGTCATAAGGGTTTCGCTATTGGGGGCTTACGTCCTGCCTGCTCTTAAAAGGGTGGTGTCATCCAGCTCGGGGTGCCTCCTTTTTGTGATCGGTGGTCCCTTGTGCTGTCACGTAGGATTTGTCATTGTGGAGGCGTGTTTTTCTGGGTTATGTCCTGATATGAGGATTAGTGAGAGTAGTGGTTTTCAGATCGTAGGGAGTGAGGGTGTTCGTAGAAGGGTGGGGGATCTGAATGGGAGAGGGTAGGAGGCCGTGTGTGTGCACCAGCCCCCCCGCCTCCTGGAAATGGATTATAAAGAATGGCGTTCAGTGGGAGCAAACTCCCGAAAGCGGGGCACCAGACAAACGCACCAACAGTTTATTCGTTGATTTGACTGTATTAAGTATTCCCGAAAGAGACCGACCACAGTCTAAATTCATGGAACTCTTTTGGGAAGGAGTCTCGTGTGCGGTCGGTCAAAATATGACTTCCATGGAAATCTTAAACCTCTGAACCAATCTGGGTGATTTTTGGATATGTTGGTCACCCAGATCGGGGCTATCAGGGGATGTAACTTTTATGGAGTTTCCATGGGTTTTAGGGGTACTTCCAGGGTATTGCTGAAATGTGTATTTTTTTGCCTGGCGCTAATTGAGTTAGTACAGTTCATGACTCAGTTATCTCCCAGGCACAGGGGAAGGATTGTCTCCTTATGTATGGGAGTGTCCTGGATCTGAGAGCCAATGTGGTTGTGTAATTGTTTACACTGTGGTTTATTCTCAGGTCTAGGGGGAAGTGCCCCTTGCATGAGGACCTGCATATGAAGCCAGTTGTGGCTACCAATAAAAGAGTTCCTGCTTACCCTCAACATAGAGTCATCTCATGTGTGGAGGAAACCGCTGTATCTACTCTGGGGATTGCTAATCCCCTGGGATTATAATCACTTGCTCTTTTAAGAGCATATTGCTACACTCTGTTGGAGGAAAGGTCTACCAACTGGAGGCTGGATTCTGGTCTTGGGTCCAGGGTGGGTGAAGAACAGCGAGACCCCAACCAAGCTGTAATGCTGGAAGTGGGGACTACAGTGCTGATGGTGTCTCGTGCGCTGCTTGTGGTACTCACGAAGCACTAGGAAGCCGCGATTGGCAGAGGCACCCAGTCGGGGTGCCTGGCAGTCCGCCATAGGAGGTTTTGTGTATTTGTGCCGTAGGTCTGTCCATGCGCAGGTTTTCTTGTATTTTCTTGAGTATTATTTATAGGGATATACTGGTGGATGCCCATACCTCTCGATTTGCCCTACGTGCGG